TCCGGCCAATAAGGACATCGCCGCGTGGCAGAGACACTGACGCAGAAAGCCACGCGGAACGGGCCACGTGGGCGATCCGCGTGCGCGCGATCGGATGGTGAGATCGTTCCTGCACGCACGGATGGCCAGATCAAACGTGCGCATGGACGGCCCAGATTTGATCATGCACGGACGGTCCAGATTCATTTCCAATTTAATTGCGATCAGACGGTTCAGAATAAATCATGATGGACGGCTCAATTAAAAGAAAAAAGTTATAAATAATCTCATCCACACCCAACCCCAAATCCTAGCCGCTAGAATCCTTACTGGAAAAGACAACCCAGCCACCGGAGGAATCGACCGCCGCTGCACCGGAGCACCTTTTGGCCGCCAAACAAGGTAAAATTTCTCTCATTGGCTCATTTTTCGATGCTGAACCTTCTTGTGGTCAAATCGGAGCCAAACCACTAGCCAATTGGCTGAAAAATACCACCGAAGTCCAGTGGCGCAACCGCGGGTTTCCTCATTTTTTACCTCCGATGAGGTCCTTCCCGATTCCTGTTCAATGTAATTTTTACACCACTGTGACCACCGTCCCTTCCTCTACAAGTTGACTGAAGCAAAATAGCAAATTGCGACTCGCGCCGGAGGAGCCGCTGTACCCGAGCGCTTCACCGCCGATAAGTCTCAGTTTTCTAGAATTTTTTGGCCACTGAGGGCCCTAGGGGTATTTTATCATAGGAACCAATGCAAGTTTGGCCAAATTTGACCGAAAACGGTCAGAAACGGCCAACCCGAGGTGGATCGCCACCATGGATGGTGGTGTCGTCGCTGGAGCACGGCGGAGCCGCCGTACCGGAATTCTAAAATTGGCTGAATAGGCCTTGGGTCTGATTTGAAATTTTTGTGAACAGTGCAGGTACCGGGAGTGTGTTTCAGTTTCGAAAAAAAAATTCAGGAAATCTAGAGACTGCCCGTAGTCGTAATGAGAACCAGATTTCATACTCCGAAACAAGTAAGAATCTCTCATCCTATTTCCTATCACGATATTAAAGTCTAATAAATGATAAAACGGTATTTTTATGAATTCATGGATATGTATAATTAATTAAGGTTGCTAATGGAGCCCGAATCTGATATGTTTTTCGGTCAGTTCCTGTTTGATTTATTTTACAGTCTAAATGCAGTGTAGTATCTGATTTGTTCATTCTGTGGCTTCGTATGCATGATTCACTGTTTAATTTATTAAGGTTTGATTATTGTGAACCCGATGTTATGTTTGAC